ATCAAACCCATCTCAAGGGTGTAATGTTAATAAATTCCGTAAGATATGTCCAGTATAAGGCATCTTTTTCATTAAAGATGTCCTTATATAGAAAGGACTTTAGAATATTTTTATAACTAGACTCATAAAAGAACATTTCACCCATGATTTTACTGCAATTTTATAAACACACACATCATTAAACTCAGTAAAAAGTATATCTCCAAAAACCAGTGAATGTATTGCTTTATTTGTCTCTGATGGCTGCAGTCCTGTGAGTCAGAGTTTTTTTCCCGTCTTTCTTCCTTTCTCTCTCCCACCTTCAATTTTATTTTTTGCCAAATGTTCAGAAAAGTCATCCTGTAGACAATGATGTAAATACCACCTATTATGACTAATCCACTCTGGTCTTCCCTGTTTCAGTTGCCTGCTACTACTGAAGTAGTCATAAGCAATACCAAAGTACTAAACTGATAGAGGGATCCTTCAAATTGTAGCCCATTTGTTACCTGCTTTGTAGTCACCCATTGTCAATTATGATACTAAATAAGAACCGACACTTTGAGTCAACTACTGCCTGTTACTGTCAATGTGAGAGTTACGTTTACATAACTTAGTCCTCATGAGCCTTCATTTACTCATTTATAGAATGATGAAATTGGACTGGTTGAGTTGTAAAATATCATTTACACCTAAATTTTATGATTTAAATGGTTAATTTCCCAATGTATTGATTTTGCTTGATCCTCGTGTTTGTTTTTTGTTTTGGCCTTTGGCATTTTATAGTTACTAGCTTCCACTTCTATGTGAATTTAGATTTCAATTTTACTATTTGTCTTTACACATGGTGGAATGTTTGGCATTGTTCAACCTCAGAAATGAGTAGTTTTTATAACTTCTCAGGCTGGAGTTGAGTCCTGGGTCTGACAAACTGAACAATCTCTGTGCTTATTTTCCCATCTGTAAAATAGGATAACAAAGAAGCTACTTTATAAGGTCGTAAGGATAAATGAAAAACATTTAAAAGTATGCAATTCCATGTCTTAGGAAGTTAAGTAAATATTAGTGATAATATATATATGAGCAGTTAAGTTAGGGAAGGGATTATGAAGGGCAGGGTAATCTTACCTTATGAGCAAGCAATAACAAAATTTTTTTCAAATTCAAAATGTGTCACCTATGCAGAAAAATGTGATCAACATTTCTATACATTTTAATAATAATAAAATTAAAGCCTATGAACTCAGCACTCAGATTAAGAAAAGAATACTACCAGCACTTTGAAAGCCCTGATGAGCCCACACTAATCATACTGTCCCTCCCTTCTTCTGTCCAGAGGTAACTACTATTCTCTTTTACATAGTTATCCAGAGGTAAGTACTGTTCCATTTTATGGACTGTTTACCTTGGTATGAGTGAATCCTGGGAAACAAAGGGCAGCTATTAAGACTTCTGAAAGAGCTATAATTTGGACTATGCATTAGATGTCTGGCAGAAATATGACCTATCCAGCTGTCGGGAGTACTATAGTTTAAAGCTATGAGGTGAACTGTGTGTCCTCAGCTGATCTAGATAGCAGAGCAAGAAGAGAATAGCTGGGACTTCATCACACCATTGGCAAGCCAAGAATACGAATAGGGGTCTGGGCTAGGCTCACTTGTTCATTCTGTCTTCAGTTAAGTAAGAAGAGTACAAAGACACTCAGGATCTTGGTGATGACAGGTGTCAAAATTACTAACTTTCAGGCCATTGTGGTCTAGTCTGTGCGCAGAGTACAGCTCCCACCTAAGATGACTGTGATTCCTGTTCCTTTGTATAAGGTATCTATCTGTGTTATCTATGTCTCTCTGGAAGCTTGTTGAACCGTCTGTTTGTCTTGGGGATTTTGAAATTGCACAGTGATGTGCCTTGGTGTGTGTCTATATTCATCCCTTGTGCTACAGACTTGGTGCACCTTTCCATCTAGCAGTTCATGTCCTCAAATTCCAGGAAATTTTCTTGAATTATTTTGTTGATAATTTTCTCCCCTCTGCTTTTTCTGTCTTTTCTTTCTGGATCCCCTAT